GGCTGCGTCAAATTGAACTGTTTGATTATTTCTTTACTGAATAAACTTAAGTGGGTCTTAAATTACTCAACACAAGTTTTAAAAGGTTACAGATTTCTTATAAAAAAAAAAAAAAACTAAACACCAGAATTTATCAAGACACCAGCAGTGTTCCAACCAAACTGGGATGTCTGTTCATCCTATTAGTAAATCTCAGTGAAACTTGTTTGGCTGGAATGTTGACCATTACAGCAATCTCTTTACATGTTAAACTTTATTAATAGACTGAAATTTTAAACATGTGATAACTTAAGTTTCACAATAGGGCATTTTTACTTTTATAAAAATAAAAGAAGTTGTGTAAGATATTCATTATAAAAAAAAAAATATATGAAGAAATTCTTAAAATGGTGTATGAAAAATAAACCTTATTTTTCAGGCTGTATATTTAAAATATTTTATATAAATAGACTCACAGGAGGACCTTGAGTGCCTATGAACGATTATTTGGTGGGGCTTCTACGTCCCCTCTCTCCACGTCTTCTGCTGAGCCCAGAGCAAGTGGTTGTCATTCCCAGACAAGCCCAAGACATCATGGACAGACACAGCGAAAACCCAAGAGGAGGCATCACACTATTACGGGTAGTGGATCACAACCATTGCTCGGTATATCGTCCCCGAGAAGGGTGAGTTAATTGTGTTAATTCTGAGACATGATGAGAATTTACTACCTACTAATAGTGTTTTGAAAATCTTGTTTGGTCTCCATCTGAATTTGTATATTAGTTTCTTAAGCAGTTTTTCATATTGAATTTTGATCACAGGAAAAATGTTCAGCATTTTGTGGGTTTGAAATTAATTTAAATGTTTACGTATCATCAATTTTAATCTCGTGTTATGATATAAGTATATTGGGATTGTAAGTAAAAAATTCTTGTTTAATAAATAAACATCAAGGATTGACCCATAAACAACTGAGACGGTACATGGAATAGGATTGGCATTAAATTTTATAATAAAATAGAATAGCCCAATTACTTAAATTATGTAAAGGATGTAGATTGTATAATAATTGATAATTGTTTTTTTAAATGATAATAATTGCATTCTCATACTGCTGCAGTTTTCATTTTCATGTGTTTGAAATTCGAGTTTGATACTCACGTGTTTTTTATATTTGTTCTTTCTTAGTTCAGTCCTTCTTCACGACATTTTCATATGGATCGCTACTCACGCACAGCCAGCACACCAGATATTGTTCGGAGCACAATCAGAAAATCCGAAGTATTTGACGAGAAAATTATTGATCGAGAAGTGAGTTTTATCATCATTTTTGTAATAACAAATTTTATATTAGGTAAACATTTTATAGGTTTAGGAAAAGATTTTAGTAACTGTGTTGTAGTAATGTATTACTTAACTTTGTTGTTACTCTTTGATTAATTAATTTGTTTGATCAAAAGATTAATTTTTATTTATTTTATTGCATAAGCTATTTTCAGGATATATGTAATGTTTTTTGAAAACTACTAAATAGTTTCACTAAATTTTAATTTTGCTTAAGTAATTACACATCAATGTGAATCAAATCTTCTTAAAAGATGTTCAAGATGTTTTAAAAATGCCTTTTAAAATCCAAATAATATTGTTCAAAAAATTCAGTTTGGCTTCAACTTATTAAAATGTATCAGATGTTAGGGTACGTCTATATTCGTTAGTTTCAAAGACAAAAAAAATACATTCAGGGTGGTGTAAATTTAGCACATCACCAGAATATTTTTAAGTCCCACTCTTACTAGGATTTTTCTAAGTTCTTTTTTGCCGTTGCTTTTTACTTGTGCAGACAGTTAATTCATTCTGCATGTTGTTATCCTATCCAGTTTCATAATCTGTTACCAACGCCTTGTATCACTCCTAATACGAACACACACTAAGTTCAGAACAAAATTGAAATCAACACGACCTATTTTTTTGTTCTTTTTTTTTTTAGATTTCCCCATAAGAGAAACATGTTTATTGTATTTAATGCCAAGTTATGTCCTGATAAGACATGGAAATTTTAAAATACTTTTCTTAACTTTGATTCTAGTAGTAATGTTTTTAACGTCGTACAGGAGTTGGATATGGAGCCCAGTGGTTTAGTGTACTGAGTTGTAAATCAGAAAGACTGGTTCGTGAAAAAAATCAATAAAAAATATGCTTTGCACTTTGGGACCATGGGTGCATTACTGGATCTTAAAAATAATTTTTGATATGAGTAGCCCAATTATTTATGGTGTGTATGGTGCTGTTGATTAGCCACCTTCCCTCTGGTGTATCAATTAAAAATTAGGGACAGCTGTTGCAGGTAGCCCTCGGGTAGTTATTCGTGAATATCTGAAACAATTAATCAGACTTCTAATTGTTACCTCCTCTTGTCGTTTCTAGGAAATCTGGTAATTGTGATTAAGCCAAGTCACAGGAATTATGAAATAACTTATCACCAATTCTTCTCATATTAAGCCAAGTCACAGGAATTATGAAATAACTTATCACCAATTCTTCTCATATTAAGCCAAATCACAGAAATTAGGGAATGATATCATTAATTCTTCTCATTTCTAGATAAATATATCTTGTTTGAACAAACTTTTTCTTCCACTATCATGACAGCTTAAAACTTAGCATCTTTTTCTTGTTTAATACTAGATCATGATATGTGGTTTTTAGAAAATTAATAATACTTTTTTTTGTCTTATTGTATGAACATCCTTATGGTTTTGAGTAAAAAATAATGATGTTTGTTACTCAATAAATCCATAGAATTTGTAATTTAGACTCATATTAACTTCGACTATAAATTAGAGTTCTTTGCACTGTTAACAAATTATGCAATATATTATGAAATTGTTATTTCTGTATTTTTATTGGGTGATAGGAAGGTTTTCCTTGTTCTCATGCACATTTTATTGTTTAAACATAAAAACGTGAAGAATCACAAAGTTTGTTTTCAAGCTGATATTTTGTTCTTGTTACTAACACATTTTTCGTGATTATGTCAAAATTGTAACCTCTCTCTCTTCA